AAAGTGGCAGGAATTCTAATTAAATGTAAACTTAATATTATACATAATGTAACTGACTGTTGTTTATGTATATCAAGAAAAGCTGTACATATGTAAATAAATTTGTTTTGATTTGATTTTGGTTCTCGTCCGATCACCGAAGTTAAGCAACGTCGGGCGCGGTTAGTACTTGGATGGGTGACCGCTTGGGAACACCGCGTGCCGTTGTCTCCTTTTTTTTCTAATTTTCGCTTCCTTTTGATACATATTTAGCGATACTACTTTTACACTTTGCGAAATTTAAAATTGTTTCGTTTTGTGCATTTTTCGGGACGTTTGTATTCCCTTTGCGATTTTACCGAACTCTCCTTTATTCATCGAAATATTTATTTACCTACGATTAGAAAAGTGGTCAAAATTGGTAAATTTGCGACACGTTTGAATCCTTTGCGTGCATCTCTTTGTTCTTCTTCTGACGAATAATTTCTGGAATTGTTTCCCTTAGGATCACCATATGTCTCGACAACGGCCATACCACCAGCGGCGTAGCGATGGGAGTGCGGCCCGCACCGGGCGGCATGTCTTCAAAGGCGGCAAAAACAAACTCAACAATTCTAAAATTGCCGCCCCTGTCTTAAACGCGACTGCGCAATGCGCAAAAACAATTTGCATTTGCAGCCATCGAGTATTATTTCATTTCACATTTCAGTACAGCGTACAGCATCGAATCTGGTACTGGAGCGCGCATCAGTTTAAATCTTTTAGTTGAACGTTACGCTTACGACGGTACCCAGGTAGAAATAAACGTCGGTCTGCTTGGGTATATATAGAGCTCTAGTTGTACCTGGGTACCGAAACGTGCTTGCTTACATGTTTTGAATTTTGTGCGGTTTAAAAATCGACTCGGTTCAAAATGAAGCGTCACAGAGAAAGTGGAGCGGCGTATAAACGAAGACGAGAAGAAAAAGAGAAAGAAGCAGCTAAATCACGGGATTCGCTGTTGAAATACTTCAATCCTAATCTTAACAGTTCGCAGTCTTCTAGTCAAAGTGTTGAAGTCAATCCGACAGAACTTAGTCCACAACAAGTCATTCAAGACATTCCTGAAGTTGCCGATGTGATACCACAAGCTAGTCCTGAAGAATGCAGTAACGAAGAGAATTCAGAAGAAGAAAGTGCAAACGCTATAGGATCTGAAATCTCGGCTTTGAACGAACTTACTTGTAGCTCAGAATCCCAAGATTTTATCGAAGTTCGCAATTCAGAGGTACTTCAGAAAGTCAATGTCGACGTGGCGGTGGCGGAAACCAGCACTCAGAGCAACGAAATTCCAAACGATGCGGGACTGTGGCCAGAACTAATTTCAGACGAACTGCGCGTGTACTTGGTGAAACAAGGTCCGGATCAAGTGCGCCATATGAACGCAAAATTTGCTTCTCAAACAAGACCAGCATCAGAGAAAAGTAAAGGCCTTGTCAGAAATTTGACAAAAAATTGGTTCTACAAAGTTCTAGAGAACAATCAAAAAACTTTGCGAACCTGGATGCTATATTCACCTGCTAAGGGATCGCTAGTCTGTTTCTGTTGCAGATTGTTTGATAGAAATTCTTCCCAGTCTTCAAGTTTCAGTAAATCTGACGGTTTCAAAAATTGGTTGAAACTAAGCCCAAAAGTTGACGAACATGAAGCAAGTGCCTTGCATTGCAGTACCTTTTTTCAGTGGAAGACTTTGGAAATTGGGCTGATGTCAGGAAAAACTATTGATTTCCAACATCAAGAGTCAGTTTTACGAGAAGAAAAGAAGTGGCGTGACATTCTGAAACGCATACTAGACGTCATCTTGTTTTTGGCGCGACAAAATCTTTCCCTGAGAGGTCACAGAGAAAGTTACAAAGATTCGTGTGTGGAAAACCACGGAAACTTTCTCGAACTTATACACTTCTTATCCAACTATGATTCAGTTCTAGCAGAACATCTAACTCGAGTTAAGCTGTCCAACAAACTTACGCCAACGTACTTATCTCCCGAAATTCAAAACGAGTTTATTAATTTGCTTGGAGACCATGTTCGACGTCGAATAATTAGTGATGTGAATGATGCCAAGTACTTTTCAATTATATTCGATAGTACACCGGACATTTCTCACAAGGACCAAACCAGCCAAGTCATTCGCTACGTCAAGATCAGCGGAACAGAAGTCGAAGTTGTGGAGTCCTTCATTGATTTTATTGAAACGCATGGAAAAACTGCTGAACAAATTTCATCGATGATCTTAAAGAAATTGGAAACTGACGGTTTAGATATTCAGAACTGCCGTGGCCAAGCTTACGATAACGCTGCTACAATGGCCGGTATTCGCAACGGAGTACAATCTAAAATCCGGGAGATTAATCCTAAAGCAACGTTCATTCCTTGCTCGAACCACAGTTTGAATCTTGCTGGCGTTCATGCAGCATCTGTTTCGGCAAGTTCCGTTACTTTTTTCGGAACACTAGAACGTATATTTGTATATTTTTCGTCATCGACACAGCGTTGGGATGCTTTACTTCAAGTGACAAAACAAGGTGTAAAGAGGCTCGTTGACACACGCTGGAGTTCTCGACACGACGCTGTTGCAGTGATAAAAAATCATTTTGAAGAAATTCTGGAGGTACTGGAAAAGTTGAACGAAAACCACAATGAAAACGCCAAGACTCGTTCAGATGCTGGAATATTGCTTTGCTCCCTTCGAACTTTTTCGTTTCTCGGGTATCTCAGCCTTTGGAGTACTGTTCTTTCAGAAATAAATGATACTCAAAAATACTTGCAAAGACAAGGTCTAAACGTTAAAAATTGTGCTGAAAAAGTTGCAGCTTTAAAAATTTACTTAGAGACAAACAGGGAGAAAATCGTTACCAAAGCCGCCGAATATGCAACCTTGATGTGTGAAAAGCTCGATATAAGCGTTACTTCTAAACGTACAAAAAAGAGAAAGCAGATTCACGGAGACGGATCCGAGGGCGTTTCGCTCACCCCAGCACAAGAGCTTAGTCGAGAAATGTACGGAGCTGTTGATAGAATTATTGAAGAAATAACGACTCGATTTCAGCAGTTGGACGAAATTCGACAAAAGTACAGCTTTCTTTTTCCGGAATCGCTGCTGGACCCGCAGAAAGAAGACAATTTTGATTTTGAGCTTCCCGATGATGTGAACAGGGAAGACTTCAATGTAGAGCGTGACCGCCTTCGAAATTTTTGCAACGCTGCTAATCACAAAGTTGAAACGTTTTCAAGTGATCCTTTAAGTCTTTTGAAGTTTATCCAACGTTATCAACGTGAAATTTCCGTGCCGAACATTGTTATCATGCTGAAAATTTTCCTGTCTTTTGCTGTTAGTGTTGCATCGTGTGAAAGGAGTTTTTCTAAGCTGAAGCTTATTAAAAATTACCTTCGTTCGCAAATGTCTTCTTTGCGCTTGCGAAATTTAGCGATTTTGTCAATTGAAAGAAAGTTGACAAATGAAATTGACTTTGACGACCTTATTAAGGAATTCGCAGCAAGAAAAGCCAGAAGAATTAATATTTAGTTTTAAACGTTAACGTTTGTAATTATGATGACTTGTACTGGTACGTAATACTCTAAAGTTTGTTTCTTGAAATAAATAAATATTTATTTCTGACATATTATTTCCGTGCACTATTAATAATTAAATTGTAATGTTACGTAATATAACCTTAAGACAAAATTCCAAGAAATCCTTGAGACGAGGGGCGGCAAAATCTTACTTCCGCACCGGGTCAAAATCACTGACGCTACGCCGCTGCATACCACGTTGAAAACACCGGTTCTCGTCCGATCAGTGTTGCTAGATCGCACAAAAATAATTATCGCATCAACCGATTGAAATAATCGTACATTATCGTACAAAACATCGTCTTGCTTGAAAATTAGAACTGAAGTAAATAGAAAATAATTATAGTTTAATATCCATTTAATTGTGCAAATATGGGATTAATAGAGGAGTTAAAGGGCGAAAAAAGATATTTGAATTTATTTTCCACATAAACGTAGCATTACATTTCTTCAAAGATCACTTCTTCGAATTCGTCGCTTTCATTTTCTTGCAATGCAGTGCTGCGATTGGTGGGGTACAAATTGGCGGACGTCATGCTCCTTAACATTTTGTCACTTGGTGTAAATTGATAACAATTTTCTTCCAGGTTAACCTGTTGGGAAGATAACATATGCCCGTTTAACGTGTTTGTTATCATTCTGTTTCTCGATGGAGTTTTTATTAAGTTGACTTTCGAAAATTGTCTTTCACAACTAGCACTTGAATGGGGGAGTGAGAGAACGCTTAAAACAAAGTTGCACAAATCCGGGAATATGAGTTCACCCACTATAGTCTTTTATTTGACTTAATTTATAAAAAAATTCATCTGGTTCTGTGGCTTCCGGAAATTCCCCAAAATCTTTCAATTTTCGCCACTGATCATCAATTTTTTGTAGTTGACTGGTATTTTGTAGGTCACAGATTTGAGGCAAAGCCTTCATTAGAGGTAAAAGTGTAGCTTCATTGTTTCTTTTAGTTTTAATATTTTGAACATTAAACACAGCAAGTTTACTTAGGACTGGATCTTCAAAATTATAGGGTAAACCATACAGTAATTGGACACCCAACAGTTATTGGACATTTGGCGTTTGGAACCCTGTAATAAGAATTGCGGGCGTTCTTTTCTTGTTTTGTTGTCTTCCTGCTAGATGGCAATATGTTACCAATATTTTGGCGCATTAAAATTTCCCGCCAATTATTTCTTTATCGTGAGAAATTCAGTTGACGTTAACCTATGTTCACGTCCGTTAAGTTGTTACGATTTTTTTAAGGTTAACACTTCCGTGAAAGTGGTGCTACGTACAGATCGTTGAAAATAGACCATTGGGCAGAATACTAAGGCAAGTAAAGGTTGTATTACATCGTTTTACATAATATTCATGTTCATTAATCTAATTATTTATAACAAAAACAAAGTGTCCAAGTGATATTATCACTTTTTAGTTATTGGACAGGGTGGCCAATAACTGAATCTTGGTTCATTCTCATCTGTGTTCACTATGTAGTAGGACAATATGTACTATAATCGCTAATATAGCGGATTTTAATGTAGGAGCGTTCTGGACAGTTATTGGCCACGTGTCCAGTTACTGTCTTATAAGTGGCCAACTACTGTATTTTGAGAATACATTGTTTTTATAGTGTCTCGCCATGCCAAAACGTATTGGTTATGAAGCAGCCACAATGGCCAAGGCTGTTTCTGAATTTCAGAATGGCAATACATCGCTTAGAGCCATCGCAAAAAAGTACGCGGTCCCAAAATCGACGCTTGAATTTAAATTAAAGAATCCTGATCACAAGCAAACTTTTGGACCTTCGCCTGTTCTCACAAATTCGGAAGAAGCTACATTAGTTAAGTAAGTTGTTTATTTATTTTTCTGTCTGTAGTTAGAATAGCAAACTCGAATAGCGAAGTACCGGTACGTGACTTCTTATTTCCTTTTTTTGTGCTTTCTAGATGGATTGCAGAACTTGCTCGGAAAGGATTTCCTAGAAAAAGAGACGACATTATTGCAAGTGTACAAAATTTCCTAATAGCAAATCCACGTCCCAACCCATTTACGAATAATCGTCCTGGAGCTGGTTGGTTAAAGGTAATAACAACCACATACTCACTTCCTAAAAAATAAAACATAGGATTTATTTTTATAGGCGTTTTTTAGACGCCATCCTGAAATCACAGAAAGAACAAGTGAAGCAGTTACTTCAGCTAGTTCATGTGTTTCCGAAAAGGATATTCGAAAATGGTTTGTTGAAGTAAAAGATTATTTAAAAGAAAAACAACTTGAACAAGTAATAGAGGACCCAACTCGCATTTTTAACGGAGACGAAACAGGTTTCCAAATATGTCCAGAAACAGGGAAAGTTTTGGCACCAAAGGGAATAAAAAATGTATATACCATCGATCAAGGGTCTTCAAAGGAAAACATAACTGTTATGTTCACGTTTTCGGCAAGTGGATCAACTTGTAGCCCGATGATAGTATATCCCTATAAAAGAATTCCCGAAAAAATTTCACAGTCTGTTCCAGCTAATTGGGGAATTGGTCGCAGCGATAGTGGGTGGATGACTGCCGAAGTATTCTACGAGTATATTTCAAAAGTATTCTATCCCTATTTAATTGCCGAAGGTATAACATTCCCAGTGATATTATTTGTAGATGGGCATAAGTCCCATCTCACTTACCAACTCAGCGTTCTTTGCAGTAACCTAGCAATCGAAATTATAGCATTGTATCCTAATGCTACTCGTATATTGCAGCCCGCAGACGTAGCTGTTTTTCGCCCAATCAAGGTAGCTTGGCGAAAAGCAGTAAGGAATTGGCAGTCAGATCATCCAGGAGAATCCCTAACTAAGCTTTCCTTTGCACCATTACTAGACGAAGTCGTTAAATCTAGTGCCAAACCCGATATATTGGTAAATGGATTTAAAGCATGTGGGTTGTATCCACTAAATGCTGACGCTATAGATTATAGCAAGTGTCTGGGAAGTTCCAAGAAAAATGAAACATTTGACAATAAAATAACAGACACCACAATGAAGTATTCCACATTTGCAAATATCGTTGGAAATGAAAAACTTGAACAGTTTAAAAGATTAGATGCAGTCCTTCCAGAAGGAACAAACAACGAAGACTTTTTTGCTCTATTTCGTATATGGAAACATTTTGAAAGCACCAAGGAAGAGCCAGACCAAATTATAAATTTATCTAACGAAAAAATTGATAACGAAGATTTGCCTCAAAATATGATTGTAACAGATGTGTTGTCAGAACAAGAAAGTGGCAATACAAAAGAGGCAGATGGAGTAATCGCCAGTACTACTGACCAACACATTACAACTGCAAACGTAGAGGTACCAGAAAATAACGAGGATTCGCCCCAACATATGATTGTAACGGATGAGTTGCCAGAACAAAACAGTGATATTAATACAAAAGAGACTGATGGAGCAATTTCCAGAACTACTCACCAACAGAGAACAACTGCAGTGGTAGATGTAGCTAATAATGTCTCTATCGCTGAGTTTCTTGACTGGCCAGATTCACCCAAACGTAAAGGAAAACGAGAGACCGAAAGGTTGCCGTATGCTGTAACTTGTAATAAATATCAGGAAATGCTAGCAGAGAAACGTGCTAAGAAGAAAGAAGAAGAAGAACAGAAAAACAAAAAACGTGCTCTAAAGAAAGAAGCAGACGAAGTCAGAGCGAAGAAGAAGAAAGAAGATCAGGAACTCAAAGAGATCAGAAAACACCAACAAAATATTAAAAAATTAGAGAAAACTCAGAAGAAAGCATCAAACGTTTCACGTAAAAATAAATTATGTGCGGCTAATAAGATAACATGCTATGTTTGTGCCAAAATAATAAAATGCAATGAGTTGTCTTGTGACGAATGTAAACAATCATTTCACAAATCGTGTATTCCAGCGTCTCATAAACAACATATTCCAGACCCTACTGATAACGATACTTTTCTATGTCATATCTGCTACAAGGAAGAATCGGATAGCGATGTGGACACTGAAAAAGAAGAAGAACAAGAAAGTGAAGAAAATGAAATCGAGGAAGAGAGGCCACCAGCTGAAACCGAAGAACAAGAAGATAAAGAAAATGAAAAAGAGGAAGAGAGAACACTAGCGGAAACAGAAGAAGAAGAAAAGGAAATCGATGAATTATATAATATGTATACTTCTGCAATAAAACATATATATTAAAAAGTTATACGTGTTACTTACTAAAAAACACTACGTAAACCTTAAAAAAAGGTGTGCCCAATAACTGTAAAAATAATGTCCAATTACTGTAAAATGTGTCCAATAACTATGTATTCTGGCAGAGTTGTTTAAAAGTAATTTCAGAGTTGTTCCTTATAACAACTACCAAAACTTAATATTTTTTTCTGAAAAGTTAAGCAATTATGGAACAAGTGGTTATTTCATATTTACATATTTGCAAATGGGTATGTATTTATTGAATTTTTAAAATATCAATATCCTTAAGTGTCCAATAACTGTATGGTTTACCCTATCGTTTTTTAATTTCGAGGCAGGATGTGATCAAAAACTTACGGCAGCGTTCAAGAAAATCCATCTTGATTTCAGGCTCCAACGAGTCAATATTTTGAAACACTCCAATGCCCAGATACATGTTTGCAATTGGCAGAAAGTGGGTGGTATCACTTGGATCAATTTTGCCAATGTCTGTTTTGTGTATGTAATTTGGTTCCACAAAAGCTGATAATAATTCCTTGTAACACATAACCATCTTGTCATGTAAGTGTGAAATTACGACATTTTCACTTTGAAAGTACTTATTCAAGTCAACAAATTTTGGAAGAACCCATTCCAAAAAAATGTAGAATAATTTAATCTCTTTTTTATTGAGAGCAATATGGATTTCCTCGCTGGCTATAAGGCGATGTTCCAAATAACAAGCGTTAAAAAATAATTTCAATGGCTCCCACTGTTCCAAGATTCGTTTAACTACTTGCAACAATGACAACCATCGAGTTTGTGCTGGTCTTAGAATTTTATGAGGCTCGGTATTGCAGAAATCCTGAAATTCTTTAAACATCGCTTGCCTTTTGGCACTATGTTTGAAAAAGCCATAAACGTTTCTGGCCAAGTCCTCACATCTTCTTGGTAAATGTTTGCATGCCTCACTCGCACACAAATGTAAAGAATGACATACGCATTTTTGAAGCATCAATCCTGGAATATCGTTCGCTAATTTGCTTGCCACTGAGTTTTTACTCCCAAACATGGTGTTACAGCCATCCGAAGCGAAACCTATCATGTTCTTGAGGGGGATGGAGTTTTTTGAAAGGAGTCCAATTATTTCTTCATATAGCCTTTGACTAGTAGCACCTAGATTTGCTTTGTCAGGGTCATCACCAGAAAAAATTTGTAAAAGTTTCCAAAAAAGCGTGGTAATTTTACAGATTTTGGGATGGAAAAAACGAACACAAATACACAAAGTTTTCACAGATGAAATGTCTGTCGATTCGTCTATTATTAAACTGAATTTGTTGCACTTTAAATATGAAATAATTTCTTCTTCGGCGCAGGCACCTATTACATGTTTTGATATTTGAGTAGCTTTCCTTCTTCCTAATGACATACCTTGTGCAATTTTCGAATCAGGAAAACAACTTTTAATTAGATTTGTGAGATGGTCAGCTGAATTAAAGGAGATGTTATGTTCACTTAAAAATCCTGTGATCTTAATTTCGGCAGCTTTGCTTTGAGTTTGCAAAGAAATTTCATTTTCACGCTTATTCAACATACTAGCAATTGTTGTATTTGGAGCTGCCTTTATTTTTAAGATATGCTTTGACGACTTTGCATGATTTTTAATCACCGTGATTTCCGCAGTAAATTCTGCATTGCAGGCACGGCACCTAGCCTTTTCGCCCTCTAGAAGTGAAATTTAATAGGTAAGTAAAGTATACAATATCGTAAATATAATAAATATTCACCTTTGCTCTTGACGAGCCAACCCTTAAACCTAGAGTCTTTCTCCCATTCTGCGCGGTATTGTTGTTTTCGATGCGTTTTTGATACAGTGTTTGAACTTTCACCGCGTTTCCTTTTTTTATATTCAGGTGTTGAACACCTCTCACTCTCAGATTCCGAATTTGACATGTTTATTACGACGCGCAAGCAAATATTAACAAAGAACGATAGCCGAATAACGATACTGTAATACTAATAGGTAGGTACAATAAAAGTTGATAGAACGTTTTTTTTGCTCGTAGCTGATAGAACAAATAAGAACTGACGACTGAGGCAACTCATTAGTCATTTCATTTCTGGAATTTACCGTTGGGTCCGTTGGGGACTCATTGTTATACAATGCGATTTGCCGGTCTTGCACTTGTTCCGACCTTTTTTTTTGCAAATACGCACATTTGCCGCCCTAAGAAAAAAATGTAGGGACTTAAACAGAAATCAGAAACGACATCTCACATAACGATAAGCAAAGTTAATAGGTGTAATATGATCTTTGCGATAAGGAATAAGGATATTTGCATTTCGCGTTCACGGCACTTTCGGTCTGTGGTGCTTTCAATTTAAGTTTTAAGTTGTGCTGGTGCGTTTATTAAAAAAATTGCCTAGCTATTAAAATTATCGATTATCGTACACCTACTATGGTACATGGTACAATCGATAGTCTTATCGTACAAAATCGATAATTATCGTACATCTAACAACACTGCGTCCGATCACCGAAGTTAAGCAACGTCGGGCGCGGTCAGTACTTGGATGGGTGACCGCTTGGGAACACCGCGTGCCGTTGTCTCCTTTTTTTTTTCTAATTTTCGCTTCCTTTTGACACATATTTAGCGATACTACTTTTACACTTTGCGAAATTTAAAATTGTTTCGTTTTGTTAATTTTTCGGGACTTTTGTATTCCCTTTGCGATTTTACCGAACTCTCCTTTATTCATCGAAATATTTATTTACGTTCGATTAGAAAAGTGCTCAAAATTGGTAAATTTGCGACACGTTTGAATCCTTTGCGTGCATCTCTTTGTTCTTCTTCTGACGAATAATTTCTGGAATTGTTTCCCTTAGATCACCATATTTCTCGACAACGGCCATACCACGTTGAAAACACCGGTTCTCGTCCGATCACCGAAGTTAAGCAACGTCGGGCGCGGTCAGTACTTGGATGGGTGCAGGGGTGGATAACTGTAATGGACAAATTGGTTCAAGGAATTAGTTTGTCAACCAGACGACTTTAGCGCTGCTATCTACCACCTCTTCTACCTTTTATTTAAAATTTAAATAAACCGCTTGCCCGCCACATCACGTGTTGAGATTTATGCTTTCTTAACCTAAGTTTCATGTTTGTGAAAGCGTGTGTGAAAGTTTACGTGTCGTTATATTTTACAAGCGTGTCGTTTTTTTTTTAGGATAAAGGACATTGGCTATTAATAATTAAATAGTGCTTATTATTTTAACAGAAAAATGGTTATTTATTGTTGTGTACCTACATGTAAGGTTAGAAGCGGGCAAGGTATTAAAATGCATCGATTTCCGAAGGATCCACATGTAAGTTTAAGATGTATTATGGTATAGATATAAATATTGAAGTTTTTTGCATTTATTATAGTTACAAACACAGTGGCTTAATGCTATTTCATCTTCCTTACTGCATCAGAAAGATCGAACCTTTATTTATAAAACATACAGGGTGTGCCATAATCATTTTGATGAATCTTCAATCATCCCATGTGGCAGGAGAGGGTCAAATTTAAAATATGATGCTGTACCTGTTCTAAATGTTGGAATATGCAGACAACGCGAGAGACAAGGTATGATACATTCCGCTTCACTGGTATAATTTTCAGTCAGTAAATCACATTAGGATTATAAACAAAAACCCCAATGGATTATTATGAATAGCATATTTTAGCTAGTCAGCTGTGATTCTTTTAGTATAACACATGTGTTTTAGATATGGAAGAAGCAGAATGTTCAACATCTGTATCAACACCACAATGTGAATCCCCTACATTGCCTACAGGTATAGTTTTAATTTCAATGAATATTACATGCTACATGTTCGTTTTAGCCTTGGAGGGCAATGTTATTGAATCAAATAGTTTGAATTAATTTGCATATCTTAAATTTACAACTAAAGCAGTGTTCTCTTGAGTCAAATTAGTCAATGTTAGACTCGGTCTTTTCACCTCCCCATAACTTGAATCTCCCGGTAAATTACATGATTACCAATTGTTGACACAATCGTTGTTGTAGTACTTATTGGGCGATTAAATTTACTGGTAGATGAAAATTGTGCTTTTTCAACAAGTTAATTACTATTGTTTCATGAAAACACTGCATAACTGTTTATAGTTTTTGAAATGAAATATTAATATTGTCATTTTTATTCAAAAACTAAACTCATTTGGTTGTAAATTTGAAATCCACAATTTAATTCTGAGTGTATTTTAGAATTCACATCAAGTTTTCCTGTTTGCATTCCAATATCAGTCGAAGCAGGCAACACCTCTCATACTTCATTGCGGAAGTGCAGTTTTCAATCTTCTCGGAAAGGTAATTAATTTCTAATAAGGTATAGTCAGTAAATAAATATGTGGTGGATGAGTTACATAATCTATGTAATTCACTAAATTTCATTTGAATAATTATGCACCATTAATTTACCTCCTTACTTGCAGGTTTAAGACAGAAAATGAACATTTTAAAAACTGGAAAATTAAGACACAGCAAGGATGTTCCGATAGAAGCCCAACAGATTTATAGAGTGGCACAAAATATTAGAAAAACCGCGAAGCGACTGGATCGTGAACTGGCTACAACAAAACGACGTTTAAAAGAAGCACAAAATGTCCTATTATCAGAAGATTTTTTAAAACTAAAGTTAAATGAAACTTCAGCTATTTTTTTTATGGGACAGTTAAAAAATCAAGCCATCTCTCCAAAAGGTAGAAGGTATACTTTGGCAGACAAAACTTTTGCTCTGGCAGTAATGAAGCAGAGTCCGAAGGGATATAAATTTTTACAACTCATTTTTGCATTGCCATCAAGAAAGACGTTGTTAAATTTATTGCACAAGGTTCCCTTTAAAGCAGGAGTTAATGTTCACATTTTTGATCATTTAAAATTAACTGCTGAGAAGATGGATCCTCGGAATAGGTATTGCATTATTATTTTTGACGAGATAGCCTTAGAGCCATCAATTCAATATAATACTGGTGCAGACTCGTTTGATGGATTCCAAGATAACGGTACCGAATCCACAAAGGTTCCAATTATCGCAGACAAGGGTATGGTTTTCATGGCTCGCGGTATCTTTAAAAAATGGAAGCAGCCTCTTTCTTTTTATTTTAATAAAGGAGGCATGAAATCAGATATGATAGCTCATACTTTAAAAACCAACATCATAGCTGCACAAAGCGCTGGATTGGAAGTAATTGGCACAGTTTGTGATCAAGGAGCACCTAATAGGTCCGCTATAAATTTATTGTACTCAGAGACAAATAGAATTTTCAAGTCAAGAGATCAAGAAAATAGATTATTTGGTTTTTTAGTGAATGATAAGGAAATTGTGCCCCTTTATGACCCTCCACATTTATTAAAATGTATGCGGAACCTGCTTTTTGACCACGATATTGAATATGAAATAAAGGGGAAAAACTATGACGGCCAAATGGGAGTATATTGCCAACCTTGTTTCCCTTGATCAAGTAGAAGAAGACACAGATTATAGAATGCTTCATAAAATCACAAATCTACATATTCAAAATCGAAAAAAAATGAAAGTTGCGTATGCTGCCCAAATTTTCAGTAAGCGAGTGGCTTCTCTATTACGTGGTTTAGCACGTCTGTGTAAGTATATGAATTGATTTATTTCTCGGTTTATTTATTCTTTTATTAATTTATTAAATATTTAATTTACCTATTTTTTCAAACTAGATTCATTAAAATAATACAGAGTCTTTGATCACTTTTTTAATTGTTACTATCAAACATTACGTAACAGTACCCATATATGATTTGCATCTGCAAGTACTTTTGTAACAATTAAATACAAATATTTTTTTTGCAGCACCACACAACATACCTACTAACGCTACAGAAACTGCAGAGTTGGTTCTTTTTATGGATAAATGCTTTGATAGCGTAAATGGGTCAAAGTATGTGCAAGAGAACCGACTCAGATGTGCAGTTAGCAAGGATTCTCCACATTTCGACTTCTGGCTTGAAGCTTTAAAAGTTTTTGAATCTATGAGATGTTTACGATCTAATGGCAGCAAGTACAAACCCCCAACAATTCATAATTGGGTGCACACCCTAAAAGGGTTTCGGTATTTATGGAAGAAATTCCAAAAAGAAGGTGTCACCTATTTATCCTGCCGGAATATTAATCAAGATCCTCTAGAAAACTTTTTTGGAGCTATTAGAAGCCACGGTATCCGGAACATTAATCCAACCTGCCAATCTTTTACATATTCATTTAGAACTTTGTTATTAAATAATTTAACCTCTGTACATTCACCTAGTGCCAATTGTGAAAAAGACGATTCATCAGTGTTAGATTCCTTTAAAAGTTTGATTAGTGTTCCACAACAAACATCAGATGTGCATTTCGAAGTACCAGACGTTAATTTATCAAGTGAATTAAGTGACCAGTCCTTACAAAGAACTGCCACTTCAACATATGTTGCAGGAAGTGTTGTGAGAAGTATTATAAAACAAATAAACAATTGTGTGTTATGTAAAAAACAGCTTGTGGGGTCGTTAAATGAATTATCTTTGAAAGAGAGATTTATTATTCAAGAATATCAGATAGAAAATAGGCGCCCATTGACAACTCCTTCAATAATGTTTAATACACTATTTCAAACTGCCATTCATATACTTACTGAGATTTTGCCGCAAGTATGTCACAAGCAAAATATAAAATGCGTTTTAAAGGTAATCTTAAAACAAAATTTAAGTTTCACTTGCATATGTCAGGAACATGATTTGTTCGATATAATTTGTGAGAAAATAAGCCTTTTTCATTCTCTTACTTGGGCTAAAAATATAAACAAAATGTTAAAAGGCAGGAGTGAGAATGTACTCACAAAAGACCCGATCAAAATACAAGCCATGAATATTTATGAAATCAATAAAAAAATTAAAAAAAGGGTGGCAGATTTAAAACATTTAGAAATTTCAACTTGATGTGTATGTTGAAGGTGGTGCTTTTGTAAATATGTTAACAATTGAATAAGCTAAGTTTTACTAAGTTTGTGTGTGTTAATTACTGTGATAACAATCCTATCTTTAAGGTTCTTATATTTAGGTTGTTTAAGCTGGGTTTATAGTTCCCTTTTCGTAAGAACTTTAATACATTTAAGTTTAAGAATTAAGTACTATTTATAGTTTTCATAATTGTGAGAGTGTCACGTGTACATTGCACAGGCTATCCGCCATTCTGTTTATTATTTATAAATTTCATGTATATGCCGCATCTTTTCTTAACAATATTTGAACAAACCATGGTGAGAATGTGAGAATTTTCACTCTAATGGCAAATTCCTGCACATTTTTACCTTAACGTTTGTAATAGTACTTTAAGCGTAACTATAATCAGTGGCCAGAAATATCGCGATGTGTCACGATACTTAATGATTATCGATCGAAGTATTGCGATATGTTTTTAAAAAAAGTATTGAAATCAATATAGCAATACTTTTTTTTAGTGTTGTATCGAAAAACATTAGAATTGACAACTTTTGGTGATTTACGCTACCTCCTCAAAGAGCCCGACATGTGAGCAGTACTCAACGAATAGATCTAGTACTACCCAGTGGCGGCTCGTAAGCTGCGTTGAAGGTAGTGCCAAATTGTTCGTCCCTCCCCATTATTTTACTAGTTACAAATTTTTGTTTCCATATTATTCCAGTTGTTTAGGTAGATTTAGAGAATAATTCTAATATTTATGTACAACATTCCAAAATCTGTCTACTGGCTAGAATAGAAGCTGACGTTGGTGAGACACCTATGTAGTTTCACATACAGTGACGGAAACAAATTTAGCCCCTTTAATTTCTTTGGAAATTTCTTCATGATATACTTAAAGCATGCATTTCAGTAATTCATTTTGTGTAGTTTTAGATGAGAATTAGCGGAATTTTTTTCCAAAAATCGTATGGAAAGTGTTACTTTTTTCACGATTTTTTGAAGTATCCGTTTCCATGGCTTTAGCCTTATCTATAAACAATAGCATCAATTTTATTTGCAGTTTTATTAATGAGGCCCCTATACTATCACTTTTTAACACTATTCAAATCTTTATACTAAACAAGTACTGAAATTTATTAATTCTTTGAATACCTACTCCTTCATTTTCGGATTTATCGCTATAGTCGTGTCCTACAATTCTTTAGAAAATTTAGACATTTTATTTTTAAACAATATTTAAGTCCGGTATTGCCTTATCTTCCAGAGAATGCATGGAAAAATATTTATTTTATGCATTTTACGTAACAATAAAATTAGTCCCGTAAGTGTAATCTTACACAGAAATAAAAAAAATTGTTTGACTTATCAAGAATAAAACACGAAAACAGCGCAAAGCATAGTAATACACGTACACAATATTCAATTGTGCTTATAAGCCAAACTTCTGGTGGCTCAAGTTGTACGTATAAAACGCTACTGCGGTTTCGCTCCTCCCACCCCTCTACTCCCCGCGGAAGTCCACACTTGTAGGAAAGTACGAGCCAGTTTAGATTTGGCACGGCTCGACCGTATTTGCAGTCCACAATAAGCACCATTTGAATTCTTGGTATCTAATTTATTAAATCATTTCTTTTTTTTTGTTTTAAGTTTTAAAACACAATATGCTCTAGAGTCTAGTGGACACAATTATTAATTGTTAATTATATTTTAAGAATTGATCATTAGCTGATTTCTTGAGGTGGTGCCATGGCTCCTTGGCTCTTTATAGAGAGCCGCCCCTGGTACTACCTAAAAGCGTTGAGTGAAGAATGTAGTAAGAGGCGCAACGCCTGTAATAAAAATCGTTCCATTTCCCTTCTCGGTTCAACGCACGCAATCTTACCCGTGAGGTTCCAAGTCTCGGTGCCACACGGGTAAGCTTGCGTGCGTTGAAGCGAGAAGGGAAATAGAACGATTTTTACTACAGGAGTGCGTTCAGAAACAAGTGATGTTCTTTGGTGTGAAGTAAGTGTAGAGTGATGTCACGTGCCCAATGTCACTCTGTACTTTAGAAACGCACGGAGTGAGATGCTACTGTCAATTATTTTTGTAAGGTTAGAAAGTTCGAGCAAAACAAACAATTTTAAATATGAACAAAAGGAAGCTTATTTGTGGCTTGGCAATCTCATTATTTAAACAATTCCTATCGGAATTAGAAATATTTGTGTTTGAAGCTATCGATATTGAAGACGAAGAAGATCCTGTACCTTCAAAAAGGAGAAAGTTGCCGATTAGGATTGAGAATTATATGGAAAGGGTAATACCGAACCTCAGTAAACAACAATTTCAAATGCATTTCCGTATCAATTATGTGACATATACCAAGTTGTTACCAATTATTGCAAATGAAATAAAGAAAAAAGACATTGTGGGACGACCTTTAATAGACATCGATAGACAATTACTTGCTGTACTGTGGCTATTGGCAACCCCAGATTCATTTAGGTACCTACCTACATATGGAATACATTCATATATAACTAGCACTTCGTTTTAGATCAGTAGGAGAAAGATTTAATATGGGAAAGTCTTCTTTAAGTGTGTCATTTTTCCGTATCATCAAAGCGTTGAATAACATTGCGCCAAAAGTTATAGTTTGGCCAACAGGCGAACAGGTAGAAGCAGTTAAAGAAAAATTCTCCAATCTTGCAGGCATTGACGGTGTTATTGGAGCAGTAGATGGAACGTTTATTCCAATAAAAGCCCCCAAAGATGACCCAGAGGTATATATATGCAGAAAATGCCATTACGCAATTACACTGCAAGGAATTTGCAATGCTTCATTAAAATTCACTGATGTATTCGTGGGTTATCCTGGATCTGTAAGCGATACTCGAATATTCCGCAATTCCGACATATATAATGCGGTTACTGAAAATGTTATGGAATATTTTCCCAATGGAGAGTTTATTTTAGGCGATAAGGCATATCCTTGTTTGTCATGGTGCATACCTCCATACATCAACAGTGGAAATATGAATGCAGCAAAAAGAAATTTTAATTTGAGAGTATCTCAGACCAGACAAAGTATAGAGAGGGCATTTGGCCTTTTATTTGGACGACTACGGCGACTTAAATTTTTAGATATGAATAGACAAGATTTGATTCCTGCAACTGTTGTCGCATGTTGTGTTGTGCACAATTTATGTATAGAATCGGAAGATTTATTGGTAGAGGAGTTTATAAATGAGGGTATCCAATTTGTAAGAGGGAATTTGGAACGTGAACATAATGGCCGAGGAAATTTATTTCATGAGAATGGAACTCATAAACGTGATCAGTTGTGTCAAAGATTATTTGATGTTATGGACTAAATACTTGTAAATATTTTGTAATATCTTTATGAAACACTTAATCATTAATAATAAACATAAACTGTTACGAACTTAATACATATTCTTACATATTGAAAAAATACACTACATTCTACAGGATGTGTACGGTATTTTACTGTCATAATCCTACAATTTGTCTAAAAGTTTATTCATCTGCATGTTGAAATTTTCAATGGATTTTTGCTGCAACTCTCGAAGTAAACTCAGCCTCTCTTTATGCCGCCTTTCAATATCATCTTCTGTGAAACGCCTTTTCCTGGAAACTGATGGTGTTGGAGAGATACTTGAAGTTGTTGATGCAGTTTCCGTAACAGGCGGACTAGATGATCGAGATCGAACGTCATCACTGTCTTCCTTTTTGTCTAAGTATAATAATATAATCAAATTTACTTATAATGAGAGAAAAAGATCCTTACCTTCCAAGTTGCGTCCTCTTAGAGAGGATGCTACTGCAATGGGCTCAACGTTTGGTTTTTTTCCGTAAATATCATCCATCTCTTCGTAATAAGTAAATTGTATAGCGGCAGCACCACTACTAGTCGCTTTCATATTATCTTTCTTCTTCATATACCTCATTTTTAAATATTTTACTTTATCTTTAATCTGGGATGTAGTAAAGTTCCCACCATCATTCTTCATTTCATCCTTCATTAGCGCATATACTGCATCATTTTTTATGGTGGTCGATTTAAAATCTTCTTGGTGAAGTTTTAAAAAATGAATGAGCTTTAATGTCATCTCGTGACTCCACGAAACTTTGGTTCCCATCGGCGTACTCGTCCCGTTTGGTGAAGGAAGTCCAAGATCGGCAAGTTGCTTTTGTAATTCCTCATAATATTCAATGCCAAATATTGATTGCAACTCTGCATTAATTGAATGATACAGTAACTCTCCACCTGATAGGATTAAAATAGGAATCGATATATAAAATAATGTACCTACTTACTTTGAGTATTTTGCAAAACAACATTTTCATTTTCAATAATATATAAACCATTTTCGTTAACTACTGGCACATACGCATTTTCCATTATTAATTTAATAATTTACTTTACTGAAAATAAAATAATTTGGACAACGATTGTTGACATTTGACAGTTAATTATGAAATGCGCATGACAGGTGATTATTACCGCGCCAAAAAGCGAGGTAATGAAAGGTCACTCCAGAGTTACACTGAGGCGACTTGCAAGCGTTTCTGAACAAAGGGTAGTGTTGTACAAGGTGATCACACTACACTTTCTGAACGATCAGCGTAACTCCTATCTGGTTTCTGAACGTACTCCAGGCGTTGCGCCTCTTACTACATTTCTTCACTCAACGCTAAAAGTAAAAGATTTAAAGCATACGAAAATATTTTGGTACGTAGTATCGTTCCGACCACTGCTATAAATGCCAATGTGCAACACGTAAGGTTTCAATTGGTAACGACACGGTACTGTGTTACAGGTACGTTAACTATAAATTCAGCTTTACCGCCGTTTTAGAAAACTTTATTTAGTTTAATTACTTTGTGAATAACAGTCCTATCTCTTAAGCTTTGGATATTTAGGTTTACTTATATATTTATAAATAAAACAAGTACCTACTTAAAAGTGTAATAAATTAATAGTGTTTGGTGTTTAATATATAAATATTACAATTGTCTTCACTCTTACGCTAAACCATCCGCTAACACTAAATTGACTAATGTCTAATATGTAAATATTAGTCAATTTCGTGTTACGTGATGGTTTAGCGCAGGAGTGCGACAACTCAAGAAAATGAAATTTAATTTGAATTCAAATTAATGGCGGGAGCGGGGTGCTTAGTAATTATTCAACCAGACACGGAGTGGCGCTTTCAATGCCCCAATTTTTTTATTTGAGTTGCCTGTCTATATAATACAGCTAACCTAACCTAACGATCCATTGTCTATGGATGGGTGACCGCTTGGGAACACCGCGTGCCGTTGTCTCCTTTTTTTTCTAATTTTCGCTTCCTTTTGATACATATTTAGCGATACTACTTTTACACTTTGCGAAATTTAAAATTGTTTCGTTTTGTACATTTTTCGGGACGTTTGTATTCCCTTTGCGATTTTACCGAACTCTCCTTTATTCATCGAAATATTTATTTACCTACGATTAGAAAAGTGGTCAAAATTGGTAAATTTGCGACACGTTTGAATCCTTTGCGTGCATCTCTTTGTTCTTCTTCTGAGGAATAATTTCTGGAATTGTTTCCCTTAGATCACCATATTTCTCGACAACGGCCATACCACGTTGAAAACACCAGTTATTACTGTGTTCAAAATTTTTGGAACATAAAGGATTTTCTGTGAAGGTTAAATTTTCTAAAAAAATTTTTTGGATGATTTGTCAACAATAATACCCGAAATTCAAAACATATTTAAGATATCAAATGGATCCTTTAAAAATTTTTGTCACAAAGTCTATATAGAAAAGAAAATTGATCTCTGGAATAAAGTATTTCGTATTAATGACGTTATTTTACTTGACGGTCATTACTAGGGGGCGGATTCTTAGGTAAATAAATATTTTTTTTGCGTATCAATAGAAGGCCCAAACTGTGTTAAAAGTCCCGGATGAACCAAAAGTAACTCAAAAACGAAGTTTTATTTCACATAAAAACACCTATTTTTGGTTTATTTTTATGTGAATACATATTTCAAAGATATTCATAAAAAACACATAAATACGACGTTTTTAATTTATTTTATCCCTTTTTTCTCTCTTCCCGTGCATAATATTCCACATTTTTGTCCCCATATTTATTTACACAAGATTTCTGTGTGCAGTAAGTACTATGGTATCTTGTTTCTGCATTCGTCACTTCCGCAAATTCTAGACCTGCTGACAAGTTCTGTTTTTTGTATGCGGCGACCCGTAATTTTTTGACTGGCTGCTTTCTTATCTATCTGACTCGGTAGGTACTGTTTCAATTCAACACTGCAGATTTGTTCGTTGTTAAAGTAGACAGTTGTAAAGTTGGACAAGACCATACCGTGCGTAAGGTGTCTTAAGTTAAATCGAGCACTAAATTCGCGTCTTTACTCTTCAACAATAGCCAATATACAATTGAATTTAAAAACATGTACATTTTAGCGACATCCCATGAACCCTCTCTTAAAATACGCAAGACTTACTTCCTGTGACGTGAAACGGTGTTTCTCGCAGTACAAATTATTATTCAGAGACAATCGACAATCACTTGTGATCGATAATTTGGAGATGCCTTTTGTTATACATTGCAATGCTAAAGAAACTCCTGGTAAGTAATGTTCAGCTTACAGCTACTATTGGTGAATAAAAGACTTGTCTCCTTTCCGTTTTTTTCGCGAAAATTGTCAAAATAATTTTAAGTTTTTAGTAAATATTTTAATGTTTTTAAGCACATAAAAAATAAATATTTTTGAAGTTTTTAGCACCTAAAAATCCGCGCCCTAGTCATTACAATAGTAACATAGATCCTGAATTTGGCGTTTTACTGCATATTGTCGGTGAGTTGTGCACATGAAGTTTTATTTATTTATGAAACATTAAACATTATGTCTTTCAATCAACATTTTTTTGCTTACGAAGTTAAACTTTGGAATACCGTAAAATGCTCTTTGTTCAAAGACTTACCATTTTCAAAAGAATTAGTTATAAATGAAATTCATCATAAAAACTATATCGCGATTTAAGCAAATGTGTAATAAGTAGGTATGTAGTATTGTATTTTATTTTGTGTTATCATTAGCTATAAGTACATATTATATTGTAGTTTAGTTATTTAAATATTTGTTTTTATATTTATGTTTTTGCTCACTGTGGATAAAGTATATTTTGTTTTAAGCATTTTACATTTAGCTAGAAATGGGCATTTAAATTACGATCTTCATGTATTGCATACAAATGCATTTGTGAAATTGTATAATATGTAAGGTTTTATACGATAGGTAATAAAGGTTATTATTGAAAATATATTATGTTTTCTTTCACATCAGGCACACATGTGTAGGATAAAAGTGACTCACAGAACAGTTTTAAATCTGTGAACAGTACAGTTTTTTGATTTTTCAAAAATAAATATGTTAATACACATACTCTTTGCAGTAAACATATGTTTATATTTAGAATAAGTAAAGATGTTTCTAATCAGTACTACCATACTACTAATGGCAAGTATTGCATATATTTAAGGTAAGTATAGTATTTTCGTACTACTAGTGAAACAGTATGCTTATAGCAAGTATATTTTTGGTAATAACTAGAATATTTGTTCGTTTAAAGTATTATACTATTTGCTACGTAGAAGTACAACATATTACTAATGGTAATTATCTTGTTTATTAATAACTACAACATTATTTATCTATATATTTATTAATTAATTTACTAACTGCTAGTATACAAAACCTTAACAAACCAAAATTCTTACTGTTAGTAAAAGTTCTTCTAGTCCTCTATTTTAGTATATTTTTATACTAACCATTAGTAGAATTTTCCCTCAGTGTAGGCAGGCAATAACACTTTTTTTACTTCTTTTTTCAGAAACATATAAAGAGGCAATCTTTTACGAAACGAAGCTGGTTGAATCTTTCAGTACAGAGCAAGATGAGCCCAAAAAAAGGACATCTAAACCTAATGAAAAATACAGAGACAGCTGCTTAACACCACCTCCTACATTAACCAAATATAAAGGTTGAGTGAAATGAATATGTAATAGCGAAATGTATTTTTGTACTTACATTTTAGGGAAGGAAAAAGACCTAGAAGATTCTGCATCGGAATATTCAACTCATGAATCATCAGGTAGTGGTAGCGAATCTTCCTACCGTTCACAAAAAAAAGGAAAAAAACAATTACGGCAAAAGTTCATAGCAGTCGCTTAGTACCACCAAGTTCGCCTAAACAAATTCAAAGAAGCACCCACATATTTCATCAGCCGGAAGATCTGAATAATATAAATATAGCAGAGTTTGATGACGACATGAATGATACCGTGGTACCCGAGATGGTACCTGACCAGGACAAAGAAACCACTGTCGACTTCCATAATGCACCCACAGATGATACATTTTCATTTATATCACACGTTTTTTCAGGTAAGCTAATGAAGGAGTTGATTACTCAGTATGTAGATACCAAATCGAGATTGATATCGATTGAAGCCAAGCTGAACACCATTTTGGATCGTCTCGCGTTAGCAGTTCCGTCACGTGACTTGGATTTATTGCCGCAATTTCCTCTGGAAACTGTCGAGCAGTTTAGAGATTTCGAGAAACAACTGAAAGACAACAAAGGCTTTGAAGAGCAGTTTGTAAGTGAAAACTCTCTGTACAATAAATATCTAAACTAAATCATGTAACGCTTTGATTCACAGGTTACGTTTGTGCAACGTATAGGTGGGGAGAATTTGGAAAAATGTATAAAGAACATCCTCCGAAAAGTTTTTTCAAATTTTGTGGGATCATTCCTGAGTTGGAAGGGGCAAAAAGGCAATATAGCATTGGAAAGTACAGCAATAATTGCTGCTATCAAGGGTAACCATAACCCAGTGAAAAAATATGTAAATAATTTAATATATTGTAGATGCAGTTTTAAGAGCACATCCGTCAAGCTTCACGGAAGCGAAGTTTAAAGAGACGACGATGAACTTTTTCCAGTACGCGTCAGTGCGGCTTTCCCGTCAAAAACCATAAACAATTAATTTATATGTATACACCTAGATGAAGATTAATGAGGTTTTTTGTTTTTACAATAATGAAATAAAATAAATGTTTAGTTTTTAATTCATCACAGTCTCATTTCAAACGGAAGCGATCTAATCTGTAGCTGCATTGTTTCTAACATTTAGCTCTGTGATTCCTTTTACTAAACTAACGTACAATTATTGTATCTGTATGTGAGAGACATTATTTTGTATACAAGTTTGTATGACAAAATAAATGTCAGCACATACATGCACGTTTCAGTTTAACGTAAGGAATACATTGCCGATCTGATTGATGATCACACCATGTTGCGGAAACCTTTTACTGAAAAGTGATAACAATATTGATCTCGTACTAACACAGCAATATGATAATGAAACCATTTTTTAACCCAGTAAAAGCAAAGTTGTTTGAACATTCAAATATCAACATTCATGCAATATTAGTACCTTGCAATGCAATGTTTTTTCACGATAGATTTAGGGTTGCTACAACATTGCACTAACATTACATTATGATTAAAAGCAATATTGCACATTACAATACAACATTGCTTCAACATTGACAAAATATTACTTTGCTTAGTGGGAGTTAAGACGAGCAAGAGCAAAAGGCAAGAGTTCTATAATAACAAATACCGCCGAAAAGCAAATATTAGAAGAAAAAGAAAATTTAAAAGCAGCCAAATTAAAGAACAAAAAAACCATCGCTGTAGTACTAGATGAAGCTAAGGAAAAACCTACAAAAAAGAAAAGAAAAATAGCAATAGAAGAAAACCTAACAAGTGACGAAGAGGAAACTGTGGACTATAAAGATTCTTCTTCAGACTGGGAGCCTGAGCAAGAAGACGAGAACAGCTACTTCACTGATGATATGAACATTGTAAAAGGTTGTTTCATATTAGTAAAATTTACAGGTGGAGTTCATTATGTAGCCAATGTTTTAACTGACTTAGATGAAGTGGGAGATTGCGAAGTTAAATTCCTTCGAAAGAAGTGTTCAAATTCTTTCTTATATCCGAATAACGTAGATATTGCATCAGTTAATAAATCTGACGTACTAACTATGGTTTTACCAAACCCAAAAGCATCGCAAACTAAAAGACAATCAAACATATTTAAATTTGAAATAAATTTTGACGGTTTCAACGTACGTTAAAACTACTTATTGTTATTTACGTTGTTTTTATTGTATTACATACTTTGTTTGTTTTGTTTGCTTGTTTATTTGGCATATCAGAACATGTTTCCCTGGATATGTAGTGTTGGCTCAGTTTGTACCATCAGAATATTTAGTGTTGGCTCAGTTACTACCAGTGGTACTAAGTGAAACACTTGCAAGAGTTTTTCTTAAATTTCCTCATATGAACATGTTATGTTTATTTATAGTATTGTTGTATTTTTAAGGGGCAATATATAAGTGCACTGTAATAAAATGTATCTAACTTCGGACCAATCAACTATAACATGACAGAGTAACACAAATGGAAAAAATGCTAAAGCTTTGCGTTTATGCACTAAAAAATGGTGTATTTGCACTTTAAAAAAGACTTATGCAGCTTTATTAGTATGTTCTACAAAATGATAGACTCGCACTTTGAACAAATACATTCCAACTTTAAAAGTATGCAATATAAAGTTATAGTAGATTATTATATTTATGCATATATAAAGTATAAAAATAGCTATAGTACAAATCTGTAGGTACTAAATACTCATTTATTGGATTATTAATGCCTTTTTAGCTGTAGTTGGCCGCCCTCTCTTCCTCTTTTGTCCAAGTGGAACACTTTTAGCTTCAATGGGTACTTTGGCTTTTCCTAAAATAACTAATAAGCCTAATGAATGTTCGCATATGTACTCTTTCAAAAATCTTGAGCAAGTACACTGTGACACTAACTCTTCATTTTCAGAGTAGCAAGCTAATTTTAATACTGTTTGAGATTTTCGAAAATCATCAAAACATTCCCATTTAAGATAGGTGTTCTTCCAAGTCTGCATTTCTTCTTGGTTTAAAACTTCTGTCGCATTCGTCGATTTTGTATAATAGATAGTCTTCTCATTGGATTTTTCTTCAAACATTTTTGGTTTAAGTTTTACCCATTGGTATGCATCAGTCCAGAGTTTTGTTGTCAATTTTATAGTTGAAAAAAATGGCTTGTAATTCGGGTTTTCTGGATTTCGCTCATATGACCATTTTTCAACTAATGAAGTTCTTAAAGTTTCCATAAACTGACCTACTGGAAGACGCTCCCTTATAGTACTAGCGGTATAACGGAAATTCTTGAAAGATACTGCATTTTTTTATACCAAGGTGCCACTTGGTACAGTTGTTCCTTAGAGCCATTTAAACGATTTGACTTGAAGAACACTTGACATTTTCCGTGTGGGTAGATTTTAGAGGGGGTAGGGGTGATTTATTGTAACATTTTTTTAAAAACTAAATATGGCCTAGAGACGAGATCTGGATGTCGATGTCGTATGATTTTAACCCGAGGAATCCAATGGTAGCGCCAGAAATGTAATCCGGATACCGGAAGTCCGTGAAAAGCCGCCATTTTTAGAAAATGACAGACTTTTGATCGAATTTTATTTTTAAGGCACACCGGGTCGTGTAAGGTGTCTAGACTTATGTTTTTGGGGTCAGGGAATTCATTTTTGATAACAATATAACCTACTGGCATCGGAACTGCATGAGACCCAATAAACAGACATATAAAACATACATAACAAATATGTAAGATTAAGATAAAAACTTATATATTTAGTTTTTTATGTATCATATATATCAGAACTACTATGTTATTTAGGAGTTCATTAATTTTTATATATATTATATATAAAAAAACTATATGTAGCCCATATATCAAAAAAGAGTTGTATGAATTACAGCAATACTAAATATATTAACATTACATAACAAATTTATGTATTTAATATATACATATGAGTATATGATATACTTAATGAATAATGTCACCAAAAAAATGTACATTTTATGTCAGATATCTGCTACCCACCATGTACTGTATGTTTTGCTACATCCGATATACATAAAATTAACTGAAGAGGCGACAGCCAGCTCAGCACTAGCGCAAGCGCACGCTGCTTGATTACCGTTATACAGTGATTAGTGATAATTTACGTCTTTTTTTTATTATAAATACAATATTCATTATTGAATCTGATTAGGTACTATTGTATTTATAAATTTTGTGCTGTGTTAGTCTACCGACGTGAAGAACTGAAGATATAGTATTAGAGGTTAGTATAATTTTATTCTTCACATGCTAATTTTTCCTAACCTTAAATATACCATAATTTCTGAGCGGGAATTGTTTGTTCCTTGTGTAGGTATAAATAAACCTGATGCTTATTTTAGTTACTTGAATGATGAATAACGAGCGTAAAATTAAAGATTTTAGTGAGTTGACTACCCGACAACAAAGACGAAGAGTGCTTTCCCATTTACATTTACATCATCGTTCGGTTCATGCATCACAGCTTTCTTCTACAGATATTGTTCACAGCACCCAAGAAACTACGCAGGAACCTATACCGTCAACATCAAAAGCTGTAACAATTGACGAGCATAGTGAAATATTTGATAGTACATTGTCATCGTCTACTTTATCTACAGCTGATGCTAGTATAAAATCCTCAGATATATCTGTTTACCATCCCGTTTCATCACATAAAATTGTATCTAATTTTGAAAGTGACCTCCGTGCTTTAATTATAAAACATCATGTATCGCATCAATTCGTAAATGATTTATTACCCCTGCTACGTGATAATGGGCATAATTCTTTACCAAGGGACGTTCGCACGTTCATGAAAACACCCGTTAATACATCAAGTATCGTGAACAGTTGTGCAGGTGGACATTATATTCATTTTGGTTTCGAGAAGATGTTACATCACTCTTTAGTACATTATAGTTATACATCTCCAGTTGTCAGCATTAACTTTAACATCGATGGACTACCTATATCGAAGAGTTCAAATTCACAATTGTGGCCAATTCAAGGTGCGATTTGTATAAAGGACACATACACAGAACCATTTATTGTAGGTTTGTTTTATGGTGCCAAGAAACCATCAGATGCAAATGAATACTTGAAACCTTTTTGTGATGAGGCCAAGGGACTTTTAATGAATGGAATTTATGTAAATAATAATCATATATCCATTAAGATAAATGCTATCATATGTGATGCTCCTGCCAGAGCATTTATAGCAGGAATTAAAAGTCACACTGGATACTTTGGATGTTCCAAGTGTACTACGGAAGGAACTTTTACTGACAATAGAGTCATATTTCCCCAATTAAATGCAACTCTGCGTTCAGATGTCTCATTTTTACAGAAAATTCAGGAAGAACATCATAAATCGGATACTATACTACATCACAGTTTAAATATTGGCATGGTAACTCAACTTCCACTTGATTACATGCACCTTGTGTGTCTGGGAGTTGTCAAAAGGATGCTCCAGTTTTGGATAAATGGAAAAAAAGATTTACGTTTAGGAGATACTTCTAAGGAAATTTTAAATAAGAAATATATGTCGTACAGGCAGTTAATACCTTGCGAATTTAGTCGAATGCCTAGAAGTGTATCTGAAATTGATCGCTGGAAGGCCACAGAATTGCGTTTTTTTTAATGTATGGTGGTGTAATTGCCTTGAAAGATATACTGAGTGAACAATATTATGAACATTTTTTGTGTTTAAGTGTGGCTATTCGTATTTTGTGTAACAGTGAATTAATCAAACAATATTTAGAGTACGCTGAGAAACTTTTGTTGCACTTTGTAAAAAAATATTCTGGTTTATATGGTGAACGTTATATGTCCTATAACGTTCATAACCTTATTCACGTTTGTAATGATGTCAAGATATTTGGTGCCCTCGATAATTATAGTGCATTTAAATTTGAAAATTATATGTGCGAGATAAAAAAAAAACCTCAAAACTGGTTCTAATCCTTTACAACAAATATTTAATCGGATTATGGAGAAGAATAATCAAATAAGTTTAGTTCACAATGTGGAACCTATTGTTTATCCCAAAATTGTGGAAAAAAATGGACAAATTCACTCACTGCAATTTAAATCTTTTAAATTAACTCACCGACAACCAAATAACTGTTGTTTGTTAAATGATGGCCATGTAGCATTAATTACTAATTTTTTTCACTTAAATTCTCATATCTATGCTTCAATTCATATGTATTTATCCAAGAAAGACTTTTTCAAAGTTCCATGTGCATCCTCACATTTAAATATATATGAGCTTTCTTCAGACAAAGGTGCAATAGATATTACGGAAATACCAGTAACAATGATTGCACAGAAATGCATTATTTTAAAGACCAATTCAGATAAGGATGTAATGCTAACACTACTGCATGTAGATTAACAACGGCAATTGGAGAGATTAATTTTTCGTTTTTCTTGCTAGTTATTATTTTCTTTTTATAATATAAATTTTAGTTAAAAACACTGATTCCACTGAAAGCTTAATATTTAGCATATATGCAACTAGTAGTTTAAGGAATTTTCAAATCGATGAACATGAACATTAATAATTCATTAGTGAAATTTTTGATGAACTGAAAATTAAGTAACATTGACGTTTAGATGCAGGACAAGTCGTATGCGGTGGTTGCCTTTCTGGATGAAGAGGACAGCTACTCGGAAATCCCGTCATTTTGGCTGTCCCACAATAACACTAAGTGTTGGTGGCCAAAGAGTAAAACACCTTCAAATTTTATAAAACGTGGAGCAAAACCCGACCCCGCAAAATGGAGTTTATGCAGTGTAAGAGTTGAAGGAACTTTTTGTAAGTTTTTTTCTTGGTTTCTAGTTAGTGAATTGTAATGAATTTTACTGCATTGTGTAGGTACGAAAAATGGTGGCTTTAAATTACTGATTTTGCTTGTACCATGATTTGTACATCTGTGTTAATCATCACTTCAAAGGGGGTTGCGGAATAAGAATGGTTAATTGGCCCCCGTCGAGTTAGAATCTATCGACCTGATAATATCGAAGGAAAATCACATTTTTTCTTAGTATAGAGAATTCTTAAGAAAATAAGAAGTTGCAGATATCTTCTAAAATTTTGTTTTGAGATCCCCTTCGATATTATCGGCTCGATAGAATCAAACTCGACGGGGGCCAATTGACCATTCTTATCCTGCTACGTCCTTTAATTTACGAACTACTCATATAAACTTTGTTTTAGCGACTTTAGAAGAAGCCAGAAAAAGGGCTGAAAATGAAGATTATACCTCTTCGGAGGAAGTCCAACGCAACAGGAAGAAAAATCCAAAATATGTGGATTCCCAACTAGCTATTACAAGTGATGAAGGTAAATTAAATATTCCTTTCATCAAACATATGTCTAATGCCAATTTAATGATAGAATATTCAACAAGTCGAAGTGGAACACCGCCACCACAAATGTGTGAAGAAGTTTTAGTCTATACTTCACCTTCAACATCACCCATTAATCTAGAACAAATGCCAGTTATAATTGCAGATAACATCGTCGAGTCTGGTAAAATATATTCCTTTATACTTCACGGCAAACCTAGAATTATTTTAAATATATGAAGTTGCCTAATATATGCACGTTTATAATGTCTTTAAAATATTTGTACTTAATTTTGGAACACTGTATGCTATGGCTTTTACGAATCTGCTTTTATAGGTACCGTACAAGCTGCCACTAATTCGTACGGTTATACGTTAGGTAAGCATTTATTTTATTTTTTTCTTATGGTAATTATATGTTTGTATTTTTTTCTAGATAAAATATATGAACTACTTGTAAGTACGAACTTATATGTAAAAGGTATATCAGCACGACTAGAGAAAATGGAAAATTCAAGAAAAATTGAGAGTGTCAATAATCATGATGCACTGAAAGATTTAAGAAAAATGTTGCCCTTAAGCAGCACAGATGATATAAATCAATTTGAAATATTTCTTGGGGATGATGAACAAAAGAAAATTTTTGTAAGTATATTTAGGTATAAAAGTGTTCTGCAAATTTAAATTATTTCAGACAAATTTTATATCCTCTATAGGAGGTAGGAATGTGAAAGATAATATTCACAGATGTTTGAAATCAATATTCTCTAATGAAGCTGCTACCAAATGTTCGTGGCTAGGCCAACGAGGCAATTTTCGCGTTTGTGATCTATCTTCAATAACTGTCCTAAAAGGTACTATTGTTTTTGTTGAGATGTTTATAAATGATGTACATTATTTTGCAGATCAGATCCAAGTCAACTATAATATAACATTAAAAGAGTTTGAAGTCATTGGTAGCGAATGGTTCCGTTTGTCAAAATTAAGGTTAAAACCAGATAAACGCAACCCTGATTCTTCTAATGTCGTCAACTAGTATTATAATCTATTATATAATATAAAATATACATTTTGTTCAATATATTGTATTTAAGTAAAAATGAATATATCGTATTTACATAAATTTCTATATGTTTATTTAGTACAAATATTTACATCATATATATATATATATAAACTGATGTATATTTACATAAAAAAATTTACATATATATATATAATACTGATGTATATTTACATCAAGAAATTTACATAAAATATACAGATTTGGTATTTAGAAAATTGCTGACATTTTGATATGAAATATCTCTTATTCATCTCCCAATATTACATAATTCTAACAAGCTTGTACCTAATTTATACATACATTTTATATAATTATGTTTGTTGGGGAGGCTTCCCTACTGCACTTTTTGAAGACATCGCGCGCGGTGAAACCCAAGATATTCCAAAGTTGTGATATATAAACTTAACTATATTATTATAGGGTAAGTTTGATTTGGGTGCCAGCGCACTGCAGAATAGGGGGCAACGAAAGGGCGGACGAGTTGGCTCGCGAAGGCAGTGGTGGGGTCTTCATCGGGCCCGAGCCTACCCTAGGGATTGCTCCCTCCGTTGTTAGGGCCAGGATTAAAGATTGGTTGACCAGTCAATTCCAGGCTCAGTGGCAACAAGTAACCGGACTCCGACAGTCCAAGGCCTTTCTAACAGGGCCCGTTGGCAAATCGGGGTCTTCTAAGCTTCTAAAACTGAATAGAAGCCAGCTTAGGAAGATCACTGGTGTCCTTACGGGACACTGGATGGTCAACTATCACCTGCATAACATTGGGCTCGCGGAGGAGTCAACGTGCAGGTTCTGTGGCGAGGCAGATGAAACTACCGAGCATGTGGTCTGTCACTGTGACGCTTTGATCAGGGACAGATATCAACTCCTTGGAGACAGATACCTGGAACCGAGGATGGTGAAGCAACTTAGGCTAAACAGGGTCCTATCCTTCATTGAGAGGAACGGGCTCTGAACTCAGTTTCGAAAAAAGGGGGTAGGCACAATGGGCCTCTGGTGTGCCTAAGTGCTGCCCGGTCGGGCTCCCCTGCGAATAGAGAATAGAACTATATTATTTTGTTTAATAAAAATACACATTAACAAGACATAAGATATATTAAAACATGGGGTAAAAAATGTATGGCTTATACATTTATATACATGAAGAATCACCAAGTACATCGCTGACCTCCTCTGAGATTGCGTTATCACCACTGAAAAGGCACCTCTAAATAGCATGATGCGGGTCACTCTGTAATTGGGCGCATGCCTGTTGAGGGCTCAGAACAAGAGAGGGATAATAAATAAATAAATTTTACATATAAATATTAAAGGTTCGGTAGTAAATTATGTATATCCGAAAGTATACAATATTCTTACCCTTTGTTTGAGCAATCTCCCATACATTTTTGGCATGCAGGGGAACATGGTAATCCGTGTCGCCGCAGCACGAGTTGGAGGAGCACGTAAGGACAGCGGCGTATGTCGCTGGCCATATCTGGGGATGTGCAAACCAGGTGATGAGAAGCTCTACAAGTCCAGAAGGATGGGGATGGACACTTGAAGCCAAAGGCAGGAAGGTTCTGTAGTCCAAGCTGCCACAAGTATGGAAGGCAGTCCGTGCTCTGAACAGGTGTGGCTGCGCGACAGGCTGCGAGACCCTTCGGTGCAGCTGCCGGCGACACGGATTGCCATGTTTCCCGGCATGCCAAAAATGTATGGTAGATTGCTCAAACAAAGGGTAAGAATATCGTATACTTTCGGATATACCTAATTCACTACCGAACCTTTAATATTTATACCGAGTGAATATTCCCAAAACGAACAAAGAGAATTAACATGGGAAAAGGGGTTTTTGTAGATAGTTGCTCCCCATGTTAACTTAGAGGGTTGACCATGACACCAATCGAAATAAGATTTTTTCCTCGTCTAATGATATACGAATTAGTTCATTTTCAGGTGTATTTCTTACTATATTATCAAAAACTCGAGAAATCCACTTACCAAAATCATGTTAAGCCATGACTAAGACAAAAAGCAGATTCAAACGTCGAAATCAATATCAGTTTATGACGCCTGGCCTGGCATTAATTTTTTTTGTAAAATGCGGTTCACTGAGGAAAAAGTATTTATAATAAACAACGTTTACAGCGGAAATGTTTACTCTAGTACGCGATATTTGTTTTCCGTGCATCTGAATACCTATTTCAATTCGTTAGGAAATTTCCATGGCTTAACATGATTTTGCTAATTGGATTTATTGCCGAATTTTTGATAAAATAATGAGAAATACACCTGAAAATAAGCTAATTCGTATATCATTAGATGAGAAAAAAATCTTCTTTTGATTGGTGTCATTACAAACCGTCTAAGTTAACATGGGGGACAACGATCGGCAAAAAACGTTTTTCGCATGTTAATTTCCTAAGTTCGGTTTTAAAATATTCACCCGGTATGTGAAATTCTTTTTCAGTGTGAAAACGCAATCTCGGAGGAGGTCAGCGATGTACTCGGTGATCCTTCATAGGCTTATAAACTTTTTACCCCATGTTTTAATATATTTTATGTTTTGTTAATGTGTATTTTTATTAAATAAAATATTACAAATTTATATAGGTATTAAAACTTTGGAATATCTTGGGTTTCACCGCGTGCGACGTCTTCAAGAAGTGCAGTAGGGAAGCCTCTCATGCAGTTCCGATGCCAGTAGGTTATTTTTGTTATCATAAATGAATTCCCTGACCCCAAAAACATAACTCTAGACACCTTACACGACCCGGTGTGCCTTAGAAATATAATTCGATCAAAAGTTTGTCATTTTCTAAAAATGGCGGCTTTTCACGGACTTCCTGTATCTGGATTACATTTCTGGCGCTACCATTGGCTTCCTCGGGTTAAAATCATACGAAATCGACACCCAGATCTCGTCTCTAGGCCATATTTAGTTTTTAAAAAAATGTTACAATAAATCACCCCCACCCCCTCTAAAATCTACCCACACGGAAAATGTCACGTGTTCTTCGGGCCAAATCGTCTAAATGGCTCTAAGGAACAGCTGTACCAAGTGGCACCTTGGTATAAGAAAATGCAGTATCTTTTGGTATACCGCTAGTACTATTACAGTATGTTCTTTTTTAATTGTGGCGTTTATTGATTCGAGGCCATTCTTAGTGCTTGGGAAACGAGCACATGCACCTTCATACCAAAATCGATTAACTCCAAGCCATGTTTTTTTAAAATAATTAATGAAATCTTTTATCGCCTGATGGTTTGTGACATTTTTGGACTCCCATTTTTTCAAAAATAGATTTTCAGCAATTATGAACACTTCGTCGTCTATGAAGAGCTGCAAAGCATGAAGATCTCTTCCGATTTCTGTTTTTCTGTTATACCGCGAATAACTGAATCGACGTCTTTCAAAACATGAAAAAAACATTGAAGTCTTCGAGCTGGAGTCCCAAATACTGATTTAAAACCGTTTGTAATTGCTACACTTGCATCTGCAAGTAACACATTTGGTTTCCAAATCATCTGATGAATATTCATGTACGATTGCTTCATTGCTTGAAATATAAAAGCAAAATCAGCTTCTGCTTCGCCAAAACACACTGCAACTGCTAACGGATGAAATTTTCTGCAAATATCTGAAGTTCCTACAATCAGGACTGGATATCCTTGCCATACGAGTTTGTACGTGGCATCAGCTTGAACTTTATCCACTTCTCCTAACAGCTTTAGAAGTCTTTTGGTCGATAAAACAATTTTCAGGTCTTGTTTCAGAAAATCGGCGTCGTCAACATCAATTTTAAAATCTAGAAAAGACAGACTGAGTATTACGTTGTAAATTGTAGCATTATATACCTAAAACATATGGTTGATCTTCGTTAGTAGGAACATTTGAGTTTGCGCTGCACCAGTTGCTTAATTCTCCTGCCGAAATAGTGGACGCTCCAAGAGTTTTTGAGCGTAATGAAGTTAAAAATGTTTTTAACTGCGATTTTACTGGTGGCTGCTCTTTCCTTGCACGGAAAGCTGCAATGATGGCGTTAGGCTTTTTGATTCCGTCATTATACAACTGACGCACTAACAACTTTGCCGATGTTGAAAGACCTCTACTGCTATCTACGCCCAATGAACATTTTGAGTTTTGAAAGAGTCACTGTTATATTGCAGTTACCACATAATAGAACATATAGTTATATAGTAAATAGCTTGAAATTATTACATCACCAATATAAACCTTTTAAAGAGCTTAAATGGCTGTCTCTATAACGGGTTCGGTGCCCTTTTTAAGTTTTTCTATACAACTAAAAGATTTATAAGTGGTAGTGATGTAAATGTGTTAAGAAACATTACATCACCACCTTATAAAACTGTTTGAAGTGGGAGGTGTTTCCGAAAAGTGATATAAGTGTTTACGTTACTTTTGTGTAACTGTTTCCTAGTGGTTGTGGTGACTTCCTAATTACTAACCTGTGTAACTACTTGATGTGCGCATGTTGTAAATTCTGTTCAGGTTTTCTCTTTTTCTTTAACGGAGTATCAATTTAGTGGAGACTTGTTGTTTCTGTCTCGCCGCGTGATACTTGGTGTACTAATTGTAACATGGTTCCCTAATGTATATTGGCATGATGATCTATATTTTTTACACTTGGTGTTTTATGTCCGTTGGCTAAAAAAATATGCCGACTCCACTTTATCGACTCAAATATCATTATACCTCAAAAAAATTTAAGCGCCCTTAAAATGTAATTGTTTTTGAGAAAAAATATAGGAGATTTAGCTGCTCAGTTTTCACCAGTGGCGCGTTATTTTTTAGTAACGAAACAGTGCATAAATGTATGTATATTGTAGTAAATAACTACTTAATTTTTTCTACACGAATGCTTTATTTGAACAATAGTGTTGCAAAATTACACCTAAGATAATCTTTAAAGAATTTTTGACTCATTCTCACCTTGTTCAATACCGAAAAAAAACTTTTTATTACATCTCCTCTTTAGATTAGCACAAACATATACATGTGTTTATACATCTTCTAGTAGGTATCGTTAATTTTTGTAATTTTCCACACTACATATTACAAATCTCGTAAACGTTATTTCCGTACGAGCCGCCTATGAAAGTCATAAATGAAATGGAATCCATTTTCTAATACACGTGTGTGTAGGTGCTGTTATATAAATTGTAGTAACCTTAGGTTACCAAAAGTTTTAACATCACTGAAATATCACCCTTGGAGATATAAGAGCCACAGCCGAGACTTATATACCCGTTTTAGAACCACTAGATCAGCTGTTATTGTTTACTATTCTTTCTTTCTCCCTGTATTATCTCACTGCTGACTGCAGGTACCGCGCGTACTTATCTATAGTTTCAGTTCGCACTGTAAAATTTCCTCACATTCTTGGCTTCAATTTCTTCTCCGCAATCTTCATCCCACCATTCTTATATAGCTACTGTCGATGTGTATACAAATATAATGCCATTTAAAATTGTGCAGACCGTGGAGCCAGGGAGAAGAGTGCCTAGCCTCAGTGTAGTCCCTGCAGCATGGGAACAAGGCAACATATTATATTGGCCAAACTCCAAAAAATTATCGTTTATAAAAACTTTAATCGAAGACGGAGATTCTCAGCCACAGGAAGGATGGTTGGTACAAGATTGTGTGAAAAAACGAGATAACCTACTCTCATATGCAGCAGCCGAACTAGAAGTGGAAGAAATGACGCGCTGCACCGACAGTGATGTAGACACACTTGATATGCCTACAAAACGTCGTATTAAAAGAAAAGAAGTTCCTCAATTTGACTATAATGATCTACTCGAAAAAGGATTGCAGCCACAGGTAAGAATGACTTTACATATGAAAATAACATTTAAAGTGTAAAATATTTCAGCAATGTGAGTTACCAAGACAACCTACAAATAAGAAAATTAATGTTTTGGCTAGTGTACCAATTTCCAATAAACTGCAACAAACACATAATGTTACCAGCGACGATGATTTACATATATATCCCACTACTAGTTCTAATGAAGAACAGCAGGAACCCATGGAAACTATTAATCACCCTGTACCGTTAAATGAGGTATCGTACAATTTGTTTGATAATGAATCTGTAAAATCAATATTAATAAACCAAGAGACTATGCTAGAGCGACAAGAGAAAATAATCAAGGAGTTAGCTGTGCAAAGAACTATGCTAGAGTTTCTATTAAAAAATGAAAATCATGAGAAGAATTCCTGTGTAAATATTGCTCAACCAGATGAGAAAGAAAACAGTATATTTCCTTTGATCACCCCAGAAGATGTTCAACAGTTTGAAATAAATTTATTGGACGTTCCTTTTAAAACAAAGGTTGTCAACAGTTTGTCCGGGATCTGTGGAACGTCTGGGAAACTTAAAGGCATTAATTGTTGTTATACTCTTGTGGACAAAGTGTTTAAAAGGCAATTACTAACTAAATATTCGTGGGCAGGGGGAAGTCGGGATACCGAAAGTAAACTTAGTTTTAAAACACTCACTAATGTTCGACATTTATTTTATGAAGTTGTCTTAAAAGCAGATCATAATATTTCAGAACTTGAGGTAGAAACTTTTTTTAAAAGCGTTATAAAGAACGCAAAGAGACGATTTGAATTAATTTCAACGAATAAACCAAAAAGAACTTCACATTCGAAAGATCGTCCTGTAAAATTAAATTATAAAAAACAAAATTTCAATGAACAGCAAGTTGAAGAAATATTAGAAGAGAATGAAGAAATATTAGAAGAGAATGAAGAAATATTAGAAGACAACGAATTTGGACTGGATGGAAACGAATGCAACGAACAAAATTCCACATCATAGAAAGTGTTTATTATATTAAAATGTGTGCAGTAGGGGTATAAATACAAATGAACCCACATCAGACCTAAGTGCTACCATTTTACATTTTACACTAGCTAAACTATACAGTTGAGGAACATGTTCTTGCTCATTACATGCATATATACATAAGTATGAAGAGTTAATAGGAGTCTGAAAATAGCTCTCCTGATATTTCAAACTAGAACCATAAATTGAAACTGTGCCATCATTATGCTCTATGATATTCTTTACACATATTATTTTTTCGTCTGTAGTTAGTAACCATTTATTTCTTACATCAGTACTTATTACAAATTTATGTATGTCTACTTTAGAATAAAATTTTTTTGGAAGTTTATTGGCATCTGATTGATTATTCAGAACAATTTCTTCGCCATCATTTTCCTTATGCAAAATTGGAAACATTGAATTAACGCATGTTGTGTTCATTTCAACCCTACTCAATTCAAATTGTCGTTTGGCGACTTGTGCTAATGCATTTCTAGGTTGTCTTAGCATCCTTTTAATATGGTACAGCTTATTTTCAAATGGATAGGCACTTATTGTAGATAGAACACCGAACTTTTTCACATCATCAACTATGTGGACTAAATTATGTACATTGCTAGTTACATAATCTTCTCCATAAAGATTAATGTACCCTTCAACATAATCGTGTAGCATCTGATTTGCTAAATCAAGTAATGATAAATACCTTGGGGACGAACAGATAGTTACAGCACAAAACAATAGCAAAAAATGTTCATATACATCACGTGGCAAATATTTTTTTAAAATTACTATCCCAATATAATATAAGAAGGATCTGTATTCTAAACCTTTCCAATGAGGTAAACATTCTAGTCCTCTTACAGCTCTGTGAATTTCTGATGGCAACCTGCACCCTCGCAAATATTGTGAGACACCATAAATGTCATTTGCAGACCATTTCATGTTGAAATTGCGAAAAGTACCATCTCTCCAACCCATTAAACAACGTTTCATAATTCCTAAATCCAGTAAATGAAGAGAGTCGGCAATCGGAAAGTCTTCGATCATATTTATGGGTAGTTCTTCTAAAGGTGTGGCACATTTATGATGAGATCCGTACATTTTTAATCGAAAGCCTTCATCGGTTCTTTTGGGACAATCAATTCTAGGAAATACATTACAATGTGTAAGATAGGAATATTCTCCTACAGTGGTGCATTTTAAGCAACCATGCTGCCCATTAAAATTTGCAACACCTAGAAACAAATTATTTTTGTTAGTAGATACTAATCGCGTATTGCATTGGTGTACTTACCTTTGATAAAGGAACGTGCAGGTGAATCGCATACAAAACATCGAATGCTTATTTTTAAATGATGCCCATTTTCAAACAAAATTCCATGCTCTAAAATTAACTTCATTTCCTCTACAAATGGTGTAATAAATGTTTTAATATCAGGTGGTTTTCCTTTCCCACTATAAATACCAATAATCATAGGGTGGAGATGCGGAATTTCAAAAATATTAAATAAGATGGGCCAAAATTCATCTTTGGAGCTTTTATAAATGGGTAAACCATCAATATTTAAGGTTATTGAAAGTGATGTGTACGTTCTTATCTTATCAAAACAGTTTTTTAGACATACTTCGAATCCTTGATGCCAGTAATAACCTTCACCCATTTTTTGGAGGACAACTTTTGCAGGGGGTGTTTGCAGTAGTGTACGAGGATCTTTAGGTAGTATATTTGGAAAACGAGTGTTTACCACATTAATAATAGACTTTAAAGCACGGTGCCTTATATTGAAGGTGTTTGCCCACAATCTAAAGTTGTTAAGGAACTGCACATTGTTGTCTTTAGATAATGTTTCATTACAATTATCCTCTCCACCTTCGTCTTCCTCCAATTCTAGTAACCAATTCATTTGTACTTCTTTGTCGTTAGCATAGTTTTCTGGAACTATCTTTTCCATTTCCGGAGATGGTAACTGCAGGTCAGACACACACTTCTAAAACGGCTATCTTAACATTTAATGCTAAATGCGATATGGTATGCGTACCTCATCTACAAGGGGCATAACGGATTGCTGCTTATCAAATGAACCTTGGGTTGAAATAGTTGCATTCTCCTTCATTATTTCAGTCATATTGCGCACTACTCGTCTGCGAAATGCTCCTGAGGTTTTGAATTTTTTCCACTTACCATAATAAGACATCGTTTAACCTCTAAAAAAGTTTAAACTTAACTCGCTGGATATCCGCACTTTTATGAAGCAACACACGCGATCAATTCAAACAGTTACATAAAAGCTGTCTCAGTCACTATTATAGAACTCGTAGTAATATCGCATCACTTTCTGGAAATTATAATCACTTTTAGTAATGTAGAAGCGTCAGTAATTTCCTAATAGCTACGTAGTTATATTGAAGTAATTTACATACTCTAATATAAACTCATCACTGACAAGTGATATAAGCAAGTGATATACATTGCTATAAAACTTACTTATATAACTTGAAGTCACAATCGCCAGAAGGTTTATAAGATGATCACCAAAACATTTATATCACTATGGTAATAAAACTTAAGATCCTTCTACTATTAGTAATGCAATACCACTTCTATAAAACCAGCATTGCTTTTAGTACTCTTATAAACCTTAATTCTATTTTTATATAACCATAATACCGTTATTCGTCTTTTATAAAACTACACAACACCAAAGGTGGTAATATTTGTTCATTGGGCGTGATTAGCATGATCACATTCAGTTTCAAAGAGTGATACTTTCATATTTTCGGAGTGGTACAATAAATATCTTCCCGCGGGGCATTCATTTCTTCTATACTGCCCGCCCGTACATCTGAATGTAACCTTTAATCCATCCACCGAATTGTACGAAGTAATTTTCTTCCAAATTTTTTCATCTTCAATGCACTTCTCTGCCTCCTTTGCGTCATCAAATACAACTTGTTTGCGCCACACCCTATATTTCGCGGGCTTTCGCTGAACAGGTGGATTTCCATCTGCATCACTATCATCAGATAAATCTTCATCAGACGGTACATTTACGTTAAACTCTTGCAATTCACTCATGGTTACACCCACCCAATCACAAACTAACCTTAGTTTCTAAAAAAAACGGATATACACCTGCACAGTACCTACTGCTACTGCTTTGTTGATTTCGGACTTCGGTAGGACTTGTGCCTCAGAGTTCATTCGTCCTCATCCGTGTATGTTCGCGCGCATGTTGCATATTTCATTTCTTAAGTGCAGACCTGCCGTTTCTAGTGCAAACAATTTTCCAATGGTGGTGAGTAATTACTTCATAGTTAAACACAGATAACACAAGGTTACACATATTTAATATCAGTGGACATTTTTGTTCAAAGTGAGAAGTAGTTCTTGATAAGACAACTACTATTACTTATAGTGCATTCTTTTTTAATTAAGTAGAATTGATATATCGAAAGTGATTGCAGGTTTATCTTTGTGTATTTCCTTTTCGTAAAGTTTGAAATATTTGTCTACAGTTTCATTATGTTTTTCAAAGGTGATATATATTATCAATTGTGATAAATGATTTAAAAAAGTTATAAATGTTTTTATATAGTTTATTAGGTACAATTCAAAGTTGTCTACCTTTTCTGCAAAGTGCGAAAAAATTCCACCCATTTTTAAGTGAGGATAGACACCATACTTTGAATTTTTATTATTACATTTCTTATAATCAAATAAATAAAATGTTTGTACTGCAATATATATTTTTTGGCTCAGTTAGTACCACCTTCCCCTACATATACTCGTAGGTAGGTAATGAGGTATTAGCAATGTAAGTTGTTTTTATTATTACTTACATGTATGTGAACGAAATGTAAATAATGTAAATAAATTGTTTTTGATTTGATTTTTGGTTCTTGTCCGATCACCGAAGTTGAGCAACGTCGGGCGCGGTCAGTACTTGGATGGGTGACCGCTTGGGAACACCGCGTGCCGTTGTCTCCTTTTTTTTTCTAATTTTCGCTTCCTTTTGACACATATTTAGCGATACTACTTTTACACTTTGCGAAATTGAAAATTGTTTCGTTTTGTGCATTTTTCGGGACTTTTGTATCCCCTTTGCGATTTTAACGAACTCTCCTTTATTCATCGAAATATTTATTTACGTTCGATTAGAAAAGTGCTCAAAATTGGTAAATTTGCGACACGTTTGAATCCTTTGCGTGCATCTCTTTGTTCTTCTTCTGACGAATAATTTCTGGAATTGTTTCCCTTAGATCACCATATTTCTCGACAACGGCCATACCACGTTGAAAACACCGGTTCTCGTCCGATCACCGAAGTTAAGCAACGTCGGGCGCGGTCAGTACTTGGATGGCTGACCGCTTGGGAACACCGCGTGCCGTTGTCTCCTTTTTTTTTCTAATTTTCGCTTCCTTTTGACACATATTTAGCGATAACTACTTTTACACTTTGCGAAATTGAAAATTGTTTCGTTTTGTGCATTTTTCGGGACTTTTGTATTCCCTTTGCGATTTTAACGAAATTTCCTTCATTCGGTGTAGTGTCATGATCGAATATTTCATCAAAGGACTGTTCTACTCAATACTGGTGAAGTTATCAGGAGAATCAGCAGTGTGCTTAGGGCGTGTTTGTGTGCCCCCTTCAGTGTCATCCTCATCACAAAAAGTAATATCATCTTCGGGAGAATGATGGTTCTCCCTAACAAACATTTGCACCCTATCACCCTCTCATTGATTTCATTATCTCTAGTATGATCATCATCAATTGACGTAAACATCTAACATAAACGGTTTTTTGTGCAAATAAATGACACATAACAGCACCATCTAAAACTGTTCCTTGCGCCAAATTTGGTTTCACTAATGTTCCACCGAATGGTATTAAAATTTCGAACTTTACATCACAACCATGTAATTTCTCTGCAAACAAAGTTGAAATATAATGCATAATCTCTTGTTCTGTCTATATTTTCTGAAATGTTGCAGCTGTTACACCATAACACACTAACACTAAGTGTAGGTACTACCATTTGCATAAGCCCAACCTTTTTTCAATCCTGTTAATGTTCTCGTGCATTCTGGTTTGGTAATTAAAATAGTATAACATCCCGTTTAAAATCTGATAATACAGTTGAATTGTGTTTAGGTTTTTTTCTTTTTTTTGTGTCCTACAGCATTTGAAAGGTTTCTGCTAGGTACTTCCTTATCAGTATAGCGAAACATACAAATAATTCAAAATAAAATAGAATTCTGTCTAATATAAATTTTAAGGTCTGTATTTCCTCAATAGATGGCGCTGGTAGTAATATATATTAACAATAATCAGAAATAACTCAAACTTAAATATGTTTCTACAGGTGGTCATCATTATCATTTTTCTGATTTCCTTGTTATTTGGAAATTTTCATAGGCAATTCTAGAATAAGGCGAGCATGGTCCAGCTTAGCGAACTTAATTGTAATTATTAAGATACCTTGTGGAGTTCGTCTCTTATATTTAGGTAAGTTCATAGTACTGTGTAATTTAGGTTCGTACTTAAGTTAAGTGATGTTTTTATCTAAGACATGTGCTGATATTCGTTTCTTATATTTAGAAAGCTATCAAATTACGACTATTCCCGATTAAGACTATAACACCCGATTTGTGACCAATTAATAAACCGACTACGATCAGTGCATCTTTTATATTCCCGCACTCGACCCCGGCGACCCGTTCCAATAACCAATCCAAGGGAGCGATTCCGGTTTATCAGAGCTCCTTATAGATGGAAATAATGTCCGTAGCTCCTCCTCAGGTGAAGAGACGGGTATTCTTGTGGATGTTTGTAAGCCTATTGCACTCGCTGTTGCATTATTAACCCTACTGGAAGAGGCGCTTTCAATCGAGGAGCGTAACTGGTCGCGGAATTAAGTGCTTTGCAAAATCTCTGCCACTACATTCCGCAAATCTTGCGGTGTAGTCTATACCTGTCCTGAGCTATTCATCTTTAATGTGGCACAAAAACGGTGTTATCAAATTACTTTTATGTACGAGTTATATGACAATTGACACATTTGTAAGAGCTACACTGGACAATGAGTCTTCTTAACTTTTTAATACAGTTTGCCAAAACAAGAAAGTCTTCCTTTATGTCAGCGAAAGAGAGGCAAGAAACTTTGTTTATACGGCATACGATGTATCTATATTGGGTACCAAAATGTATATACTTTATATTATGTGTATTTTTATTTTGATAATTCCTGTAATAGGCATTATTGCTGTTGGAATTAAATAATAATAAATAAATTGTGATTACGGATAATTGTATAATTGATGTCATTACAGTAATTGGAAAGTGCAATATAGGGTACAGAGATAATAGAAACGAGGACCTCCTATCGTTAATGAACCAGGGCACCATGGTAATTTCTTGGAACCACTTTTATTGTTAAAAAAATTCGCCCATTGCTAAATTCACATATGTCAACAGCGTTATTTGTGAAAAACAAAGAAAAAGCACCCGGGAAAGCCAAGACGAGGACAATTAAAACCAACGGTCACTATAATTACACAATAGTAAAAAATTTAAGTAATAAAACGTCAAATTTAAGAACAAGTTATCAAGGCAAAGTTATTGTTGATACTGCTCAAAACATTAAAGAGACTATTTCTATAGAACTAAATGTTAACCCGCGACTCCCAACTCTAAAAAATGGGCCGATAAATATTTTCCCCGGGCCGCTTAAAGGTTACCAGTCCGCCTCTGATCCGAATGTTCTGCTTGCTCTAGGTCTAGAGTAACGTCTCGTAACGCTGCGACAAGCTCTTCTTCATATAGGTGCGCTAGCAGCTGGAGCATTTGTTATGTTTAATGTTTCCACAATCGCGTATCCCATGATCCATCTGTAGTATATTTAAATCTCTGATAAAACCCACTACAAATTAGTGCAGCGGAGAGCCGGCGCTAACTCGCTTATTTGAGGTAGTTTTTTTTTTCGGAGTAGAAAGAATTGGGACCCACACCATTTTGTTCAGAAATGTTTGAACCTTCAGAATCTCGCTTTACGACATTTTCCCGTGGTCCTGAGAAAAGTTATACGCCGCTAAAGTTGAAATTTACTCATTTTCGCGCGCGCGACTAGACCACCGAAAGTATTTGTTTTCTCAGCAACTAAGCGATATACATCAATCATTCCTTTTGTAAAATGAAAGTACATTTATAGCAGAATCTAAAGCATTCATATTTACCTACCTTGTTATGCACAGTTTTTAGAAAAATGACCGTCAACTTCCAAAATTATAGAGACTAGTGAAATCAAAAAACAAGCCTGAATCTTTGGGACAAAATCATACCGTTGTTACTGCTGATCTTGCAATATACAGTACAGCACAAGAGATACCTATTGTGGAGGAACCCCTAAAATTTACAGGGAAAGGGTACCTATTTGTACCTATATATTTCACCAAAGAACTGAGATACATGGAGTTAATGAATTGTTTGAGATTTTCGGCGGAATGCATTTGTAAACGCCTAAACGGCCTAAATAGCAAGTTTTGGTATTCGGAGAGAAATTTCTTAGTAAAGTAGAACCTCTTACGCATCGCTCCTTGTTTAGCGAACGCTGCTGACTATCCTTCCCTCTCCGTCTCACTCGCGACTCCCGACTCGGCGAGGTCGGTAGGTTTTTACTTAAATGACCGTAACTTTTTTA